TAGTAGTAGTAGTAGTAGTGGCTGCATTTGCGACACACACACACACACACGCACATTGACATGTGAGCCGCTCCATATGCCCAAATGCCTGACCGGCGGTCGCTGCTTTACCTTGTGAGATGTGCCGTGCATTGAACACAACCTAGGTTTCGACTTAGCATTTCCTTTCTGGCACAGTCTGAAGCAGCTTCTGTGGGCAGATCGTATCAGGCTTCAGTGGTAGATCCTCGCAATGCGTCTGGCAGCTTTGCGATTGCGGCCTGCAATGGTCCAGGAAGATCTGAACAAGTCACTTCTTTCATTTCTGTTCTTTGCTTTTCAAGTCCTCCCGGTGGATGCTCAGGCAACTTATCCCTCCGAATTTCGGATGGATTGGTGTGTTGGTGACGATTGCTTTGACCAGTCAATCAGCTGTGCACACTTCCAACTGCGTTTGCACAGCTACTATGCTGAAGGGTCTCGCCCGCCTCTGAGGGAGGCGTTCTTTTTGGTGACGCTGCCTCCTGTGTACCAGCGGGAGTTGTTGCTTGGATGCCCCGGCATGATGGTTCTTGCTCACCTCCTCCTCGCCGAGGTCCGGTTGTACACACACGACCCGAGCGAGGCAGCCACGCTGAGTGCGAGGGCACAGGCCATGATGGAGCTTCCAGAGATTACAGCAGTCCACTTGGAGAACATAAAGTATGCGTGGCCACTGCAGCTGGCTATGCAGCGGATAGCGAACACATCGTTAATGCTAGACGGCCGAAGGCCAATGACTGTGGACATAGTGCTGCCGCGATGTGGGGAAGACTTGTCTTGGCTGGCGAATGGCTCCCTCCTGCAGCTGTTGCCTGCGAGGACACGGGTTTTTGTGTACGAAAAGTGTGGAGGCGATGCTAGCTTTGTGGAGTATTTGTCGATGCGGCTTGAGTCGCACATTCAGTTGATCCACACACAGCTTGATGATGCTGTGGATCCAGCCACCGGCCTGGCAGCACGCAGAGACGAATGCACAGCATACTTGAGCCACGTTGTCCGTGAGTACGATAATCTAGGAGACATGACTCTTTTCTTGCATGGTGATCCGTCAGACCACACCCCCTTTGGCCTATTGAACATATTGCTTCGTGGCATTTCTCTGGGTACTTTTGCTGGCCTCGACTTTGTTCACCTGGGCTCGCCTCGCCTCGTTGCAACGTACAATCCGTGCCAGAACGATATCTATGAGCGTGCCTTCAACCACCCGCTTCAGGGCAGACTTTTTACCTACTGCTGCTCACAATTTGCTGTTTCGAAGCGGCGGATCCAGCAACGGCCACTTGAGGAATATGCCAAAATGCTGCAACTCGTAGATGGTTCTGTGGCAGATGTGTGCGAACGAATAGGTCCGTCTTACGAGAAGTATGCTGGTCAGCGCTTATCTCACTGTTTCTTCCTGGAGTTCATGTGGCATGTTGTTTTCGGCGAACCCGACGAGTTACCGCTCCGCGCAGATGAGCCGAAGCTTCCGCTTCCACTACGTTTGAAGGACAGCGATGAAAGCTTGCCTAGCTTGTGGAAAAGCTACATGTCTCCGGTCGTTGGCGGCTATGCCACCTTCCAACGGCAAAACTTCGAAAGCTGGCTTCATCAAGTTCGGACGCATACCGACTTGGGCCGAGCTGTGCAGAAGAACTTTGGAGATGGATTGAATTTCTGAGGCAGAAAGGAGCTGCCGTGCAAGAGTCTTGCCACATGTGTGACCAGCGATCGGACATCCATTGCCTAAGCCCAAATATGAGATCTGGGAATGCCAGGTTGCCGATTTGCGGAGGCTGTCTTGGAGTTCGCGCTCCCCGACGAGTACCCTGCTACGGCTCAACCTGTGGTGACCGCGACGTTGCCAGAAGGACCCATGACCGATTGCCTCTCACTGGCAATGTTATCTCGCCGGCATGGCGTCGACATTCGGCATTTCCCAGCCTTGCCTTGGGTTCTGCTAGGAGCCACTGTTGGGGCAAGCGAGGAGGACTTAGTGTCAGTTGTGGAGGCTGCGCTGGCAGACACCGTCGGCAACGTTGCTCTGTTCAGCGTTGCGGAGGCAGCGGCAGCAGCACTCAATTTCATGCTGCCGATGAGCACCAGAAAGCAGCTACAGCAGCGACAGCATAAGTAGTTCTGTGCGTTTTGTCTCCGGTGATGATTATCGTTCCACGAAGGCGGTGCGTGATTGGCTGCGGGAGCATTGTCGCCTTCCGCCCGAAGCGATAGAGCCAGAAGCCGTGAAGCAGCAGGTTCGCACAAGGGCTAGGTCCAGGTGGGTTCGGTGCAGACAGAACCATGCCAGTCCAGCCATGTACCGCTATGCCTAGCAGCCGTATTGCCTTCCGGCAGTGTTGATATCCACCGTCCTAGGACCTAGGAACCGTTTTTTCCGAAGAGGATTGCGAGGAGATGGACGATGTAGAAGTGGACTCCTCCGACCTTGACGAAGAGCTCATCGAAGCCTTGCAAGAAGTCTTGGCAGGCCTGTCCACCGCACGTTGGCTTAGGCAACCTTGGGTTAGGATGCACGCGTCCTGAGTCAGTCTTGGCAAAGGCGACAAAGACCGGCTCCGGGAGCTGCGCCGCATAAAGAATTTAGACACGGCGCAGCAGCACCAAGCTCTTCGACAAGTGCTCAAGACATTGAGTGCAGAGGCATGCAGCAGCTTTGCGACACGAACTTTATCTGGAGAGTCGGAGAGACTGCTCGGACCCTGAAGGAGCGAGAGGCTTTGGTGGGATCTGACTCCGAAAGCGATCCCGGGCTGATGGGAGTTGGGGCGGAAGCGTATGTTCAGTCATGAGATCATGTCGCTTGCCCCAGTCCGATGCTGGGATCTGCAATTGCACGCGCATAACAGCCCTTGTCAGTACGAGCGGCACACGTTTGCAAGATCCTCGTGTGCAACATTTGTGCACGCGCGCGACTGCTGGACTGCGCTGGCAGGTGATTCAGCAAAGGAGGCATGGACAGTCAGCATCATCATTCTCACCATGTTCATCAGAATAAATACTCTGTTCTTAATCATCAGCATCAACAATCGTTTCTGCTATGTTGTTGCGAGATCGCTGGGGCAGGAACCTGCTCGGATGGTGCAACTTGCCCCAGTAGCTCCCATTGCAGTTTGGACATTGTGCTTGTGACAAGTTGTGGAGACATATTGGCAGAGGTGCCTCTCTCTTCTTTTCCCGGAGACACCGTCTGTGCCACTGAGGCCCAAATAGAATGCCCCGCCGGCCATGAGCTGGGTGCATTCTCCTCCCGCCCTCCGGACTACAGAAAGTTTGACGGATGCCCAGACCGAAAGAGAAATGTGTTGGATTTGGGGGTCAGGCTACCAGCACGTGTGGAAGTTTTCGATCAGTGGGGTTTGCATGGGTAAGTATGCATAGCGGCTTAGCGTGACCGTTGAAGTGTTCGACCTGTACCTCAGCTCAGTTGTATAAACTGTAACGAGAGTTCCTGGCATCGAAGGAGACTTGTACACCTGCGACGTGTGTGGCCGGGACGGCGAGTATCGTTACGGCGTTTATCACTGTGCGAAATGCTTTCAGCAAGGCTGGGCAGCTGCCTAAGCTAGGCCTGCTGTGTGCGGTTGCTTGGTCATGCAAGTCCAGACAAAACTCAACCCAAGGCGGACGCCAATTCGATGCCTGCCCCTCTTGTGGAATCTCTGCTCGCGGAAGCAAAGGTGGCAGAGGTGGCAAAGCCAACAAGGCTTCAAAGAGCAAGCAGAGGAAGCGCTGACAGCATGAAAATGCAGCGAAATGGCCCAACACGGATCCTCTTCCCTGCATGTGTGTGCTGTACAAGTGCGAAGCAGCCTCACAGTACCAGCAATGGTCGGCCCATGTCGGCCCCAAGTCGCTACTGTCATGCACTGACAACTAGAGAGCTGTTCCAATGATGCTCAGACATGGTAAGCTCATGGTAGCCGGACAGCATCATCTGCACCGCACGCAGAAGGGAGAACACTTGCAAAATATCTCGTGAATTTTGCCGGCCGAGAAGCACCGAGCCATGTCGCTGCCGAAGTACAAGGCGCCTGTCCAGCCTGTGCCAGTTTCAGACTCCATGAAACCTCTCTCCATCGTGATGGCTGGCGACCGACATAGCCATGGTTGCTTGTCCTGAGTGGGAATGCTTGAGATACACTGCAAGATTTCGCACAGAAGCTCAGACGGATTTTTTTTGGTTATTGTTCATTGCGGTCCGCACAGGTGGTCCTGGTCGGCGACCAGTCCGTCGGAAAAACCGCGGTAGTAGTGCACCGGTCCTGGCTTGGCTGATGTCCACATTGTTTGGTCCCGAGAGTGCAACGGATGGAAGATGCTGAGGCGATATCTGAAAAACACGTTCGAAGAAAAGGCTATCGGCCCGTTGTCTAGCAGCAGATCAGCAGATGAGAAAGGTAAATTGCAGATTGGGAGGCGGAGGCAACTATCGGCATGGACTTCCAGACCAAGACTGTGCAGCTGTTGAGTGGTAGCCCATCCCTCAAGCGGATAGTGGCATTGGCGTCTTTTGGATGTTGATGGGTGGAGCCATCAACGGTTTGGATCAAAATATGTCTGCTGCGGGAACTCGTAGTCGTAGCAACACACCCGTTTACATATTCATACGCTTGCGTGCAACCGCCTAGGTCAGATACGTCTTCAGCTTTGGGACACGGCGGGCCAGGTTGGACGTAGATCACGGTGATTGCTGTCAAGATGTTTGTCCCAGGGGCGAAGGGATCAGCTGTTCGATTGATGCTCCATGCGGGATATTTGCATAAGCCGCTCAACTATGATCTGCGAGTTAGTGCGAGGAGAGGTTTCGCAGCTTGGTCAACGGCTACATCCGTGATGCAGCTGCAGCTGTTGTTTGGTCGGTGGCCCGGGCATCTGAGGAAATGCTGTCGCACCTACTCGCAATATCACACAGAATGTACACATTTTGTGCATGGGGTTCGACCCAGCATTTCCTCCTCTGTTTAGAATCACTCGGCCATTCAATCTGCCAAGTTACGACGTGACCAATCGCCAGTCCTTCGACAGCACCACGCAATGGATCGAGGACGTGCGTGGCTCTCGGTGAACAGGAAGAAGCCGCCATTAATGATGGTCAGGGCTTTTTGTGTCAGCACCACAGAGGCTGTTTGTCGCTACCTGAGTTATGGTGTCAGGCTAGGCTAGACGAAACGTAGTTGCCATCCAGGATGCAAAGGAAACTAATTCCGTGCGGTTCAGCTCGGGGGATCTTGCAGGATCGGTTTCGGCAAGGCCGACTCCTAGAGAGGGGTCGCATCTTCGAGACTGAGATTCGTGGTTCTTTCCTTGACAGAGCATCTATGCAGGGCTGATGTCACTGTATATATTCAACGGCAAATGACAAAACTTCTTTCCAAGCCGAAGGGTCACTGGCCTGGCCGTGCGTCTACGTAAGTGTGCAGGAAGTTCGGCAGTCCCGCGGTGACGATGTCCTTGTTTATCTGGTAGGCAACAAGGCGGAAATCACTGTTATCTCACATCGCTCGAACTTCGTGAAGTATGTTGCTGGAAGTTGCAGGTGGACCTCGCGGAGAGTCGTGCTTTGCCTCAGTTCTTTCAATCTGGGCCCTGACATCCGTTGCAAGTGACGTCTCGACATTTGAAGCCCCCAGCTGACCGAGGCCAGGTCTCGCGTGCAGAAGGCGAGGCAAAGGCAGCAGAGGCTTCTTGCACCCCGCAGACGTTGGGTGATACGGTCATATACCGCAGCCAGCTCATCCTGATTCTGGTTCCATGTGCAGCCGCAGTCTCCTGAGCAGGTCAAGGGGCGATTTGCCGAAACAAGCGCACGGTCAGGGGACAATGTGAAATCCTGAGAACTCGGCGCGAGTCCTGCTTGCACTTCCACTGACCTAATTTATCCTGTTTGTTATGTGCACCTCATGTGGTCAAGGTCCAAGAGCTCTTCAAGCAATTGGGAGAGGCGGCTGATATGTGCAACTCTTTCCATATCAATTTGCGCCCCTCCGGACTTGCATAGATGCTCCTTTCATGTCGACGAAGGCCCTGGCACAGCGCGGGGATGTCGGTAGAGCGCTGAGTTCGTGAGTGAGTTTTTTCACCGCATCACCAACAACTTAGCACTTCACGTGTGCCTCCTAGGAGGGACGGCCGCGAGTCAAGTCAAGGACACTTTCATAACACATGGTAATGACAGGCATAATTAGTCTTAAGGAGGCAGTGTAGACAAGTTTGCTTGCCGATCGAATCTGTTCCGTGCGGCTCTTTTGCTCGTTGTTTTGATGGGCCTGCAACCTTTCTGAAGCCTGCAGGAGAAGCTGCAACTTGGCGGGTTACCGCCTGAGTACCGCAAGTACGAGATGTTAAAGTCCTCTAACCATTTCCTTCTTTTGTTCGTCCACCCAGCGCCTTACCAACCATAGCTCGAAGACATCCGGAGACCATGCCATACCATGCCCACCGAAGCATTTGCAGCTTTGCATTGCGTGGAAACATGTGCAACCGCCTGGAAATCATACATTTTTCAATATGAGGGTGTTGTGCTCGTGTTGGTGTGGGTGTGTGTGTGTGTATGTGTGTGTCCTGGAGATTGTGTGTGTCTGCGCGTGACAGGCAAGAGCAGGTCGACAAGAAAAACAAGGTGCGCAAGCCGTGCTGCGTTAGCGTCGTCGGGCTTCGAAGCGCCCGAACATTGCGTGCGGAGGCCTGTGCCTGTTAGAGAGGCTAGCCTAGCATGCCTTGGCGGCTCGGCACTGAGTGTGTCCGCTTCCACCCCAACTTACAAGCTCATGTAATTGCTTGCTACATCAATCCGCAGAGTGGGACACGGTGTCCCAACGGCTGATTGCCTGAGGCCAACATGTTACCCAGAATTCGCCGCTCGTTCGCAGAGGCCGGCGAAAGCATGCGAGTGTGTCAATGGGTGTTTCAACGCTGGCTTGGCACCTCCTAGCAAGCAATGCAATTTGCTCCGTTGCTACTGTAAAGATCTGAAGGCAGCCTTGCTTGGAGACTTGCCTTGAGTTGCGGGCGGACGTTCCCAAAAAGAGGAACCTGCGGAAAGCACACAAACTTAATTAGGCCAATCAGGCGGTACATGGCGGTACAGATGCCTTGCAGAGCCTCTGATTTCAGGACTAATTCGTGCATTTCTTTCAGCGCGAGAGTTTGAGGCTTGCCGTAGCCACTGAGGCGGCGGTGCGGCAAAGGCTTCAGCCGCCAAAGAGTTCTCCCTGAGAAAGGGCGAAACGAAACAACGGTTGAACGTCTCTGCCCGACTCTTCCACTTTTTTGCTCGCTTCCGACCCTGCACACAGCCTTACCGCCTCGATTTGCCGACTGGCTTTCGCATTTGGCTGCGGCTTCTCTGCAGTAACTGGCTCCCAAAACATGCGGCAAGATTTCAAAAGTTACATCAAGCCGATGAGCCTCAGCCTTCATTCTACCTACCTTCAACGAACGGTGGGAGCATATTGCACGGTGCACCTCAGCAGATGTAGTAGCAAGAAGACTCTAGACACAAGTGTTCAAGGCGTGTTCTGATTGTTTTGTAACGCTGCTGTGAACTCATGAAATCGTAATGGCATTCATGAGGGAGTGCTGGCCAAGGAGACCGTCGGGGGCCTGATCAGAAAGCTGTGGCACTGGAAGCTTTACTTAACTTCGATTCCAAGGTTTCGTCGCCAAAGCTTTAGATTGGTGGGTGTCTGCACCCTACGGCCTGTTCGTTTAGGCCCTGTTTACCTTCCTGGCAGTCACCCACCCGATGTTTTCCAAGGAGACCCTTGAGCAGTCGCTTCAAAAAGTGTCAGCTGCTGAGTGGCTTAGCGCCAAACTGCCTCAGGGGAAAGCTGATTCACGCATCCAACCCTGACAGGGTCTTGGGGGATGGCATGGCAGGGTTGGGGGTGGCTGCCCCTCCCTTTACCCTTCTGAAAGAAGCCCGAAAGGCCCGGCCTCCTGGCCCCGATTGCAGCACCAAGTGATGTCGGGACCTTACATGATCAGATGTCATGCAAGTGGCGGTTCTAGAAGCTGGTCAGTCTTACTATGAAGGTGCTGGCCGGGTCTTTGCATCGCGTCATCGACGAGGCTTGCGCTTGTGTGATAGTTTCCACGTGCATGATGGCAGATGATCAAGGAGCCTCCTCTCCAGCCGTCGCACCTTTTTCGGCATCACTCCTCTCCGGCTGATTGCTGAGCTGGCTTCGAGAGTGTCTGTGAACTGTCCAACCTCTTACTCTCCTGCTGTGGAGTGTGACGCGAGTCATCCGTTACCAGGATGGAAGGATGGGATGTGATAGCAGTTAGGTCACTTCAAGCTTGTTTTCATGCATGAAGCGGTAGCTTGTTTCGTGCCACTGGGGATGGCACGTCAGTGTCGAGCAAATCATCTCAGGCTGAACTGGCATCTCTGGCTTCTGGACAGGCCCGGACTAAGCCCGACAGTGGCGACCCTCGGAGAGAAGCTCGCCGAGAGGATTTTAGAAGCACTGACGGGCTTGCCGCAGGCGCTGCACAAGCAGCCGACTCCGGAACACAAGGAAAGCCTTGCAAAGCTGTTAGTTGAAGTCATGTGATGAAACCTGCGCACGCTGAGGCATGGCTCGTTTTCCTTTTCGTTCTGCTCGATGCATCGAAGAGCTTCAAGCCAAGACTTTGCGGTTGTGCTTGGAAGACGGTGTGTGTGGATCTGAGCTTTCTCGCATTTCTGTGGCGAGGCATTGCCGTCAGTCATGCCGCAGTTCATGGTGGACATCTTGGAAGATTCTTCGGCTTACGTGCACGCACCATTCCGTGCATGACAGATCCACGCTTCCGCACAGGCCGGATGTGTGCGCCCTTGGTCATTGCGTGGAAGAATGCGCTGTCAATAGGCTGGCGTTTAGAAGTCTGCTTGCTTGCATGTGATGTGCGAAACGTGTAGGAAACCTCTGTACGATTCCACTCTGGCTACCTCCAGGTGTCTAACAGGTGTCTAACACACTGTCATCTAAAGCTACTGCCTGTGGTCTCTTAGTCTCTGAAGGTCTGGGCCTGGCGCTGGCATTGGGTCGCGACGGCCTGCCCGGTTTCCGAAACTGCTTGGCCATGCGCCGAGGATTTCAGGCCCTGCTCTACTACCCTACTTCTTGGCATTTCAGGGCCTTGGCAGTAGGGCGATCGGTGTATCTGTGGATTTGGCTTTTTCGAGGGGGAGGGGAGGGCGATCGGTGCATTGGCGCGTATTTGGCTCTTTCGAGGGGGAGGGCAGCAGGATGCAGCAGGGCGATCGGTGTATCGGCGCGTATTTGGCATTCTTTGGAGTGGAGGGCGATCGGCATATCGGCGTATTTGGCTCCTTAGAGAGCAGTGGGAGGCGATCGGCGTATCGGGTATATATTCGGGTATTGGCCGCCGGGAGGGGGGGAGAGGCGTAGCGGCCTGTGGATGGCAGACGAGGTCAGATGGTGGAGGGATCGACGTATCGGCGTATTTCGGTGATCTCTGGTGCGTGAGCATGCAGAGACTCGCTGGTCAACTTAGATTTAGATGGCAGCCGGAATGTCACAACGTCACTGCCTTTTCCACAATGTCAGCCCGGACAGGTGTTGCCCATTGCTGCGGCTTTTGGCTTTGCTCAGCTGTGCGCCATGAAGGCTGGTTTATCGTGACAGGACTTGATGTCCATGGACAGCGCGCCAAGCCATGCCACTGCATGCTGATTCATGCTGTGTCGCGCCAGCTTGTCTCAGGGAAGCCGTGGCGAGGAGATTGCTTCTGCCGAAACGAAATAAATGTAGCCATTGCGTGGCCTTTTCTCCTTGAAAGGAAGAAATGCGTGCGCAGGTTGCGCGCAGCTTTCTTGTCGTCTGCCTTCCGTTGCAATCCGAAACGAGGGAAAATCTTGGATACACAGAAGGGTATGAAAGGGAAGCGGGGAAAATCGAGGGTCCCAAAGACCCTTCCTTAGTCCGAGACCGACGAAGGTTCCCAAACACCTTCATGATCGGACATAGTAACGGCCAAGAGGCGCCCTCAGGGACCACCCCTGCGGCCCACTTCAGGCGCTCCGGTTTTACGACGCTGGCAGTCTGAAGGTGATCGCGCAGGCACACGTGCAACACTTGTGCCAAATGATTTGTCCAAGCCGTCGCCATGCTCGTACCGCTTCAAGGTCAACCTCCCACTAACAGCACTGCTTTCGTGGCTGCTTCTCGATCGACGCACCCTGGCGTGTGAAATGCATGTCATGCGGCTTGATGCAGTCAGATCGTCACGGCCTGCACAGCCTGCGAGTGCCTGTGCGACGGTGGAAGGCTATTCCGCACAGAAGTGGTTAGCAGTGGCCTGCGCCTCACGACGGTTGACAGCAGAAGGGCTCTTCCTGCAGTTCCCATCAGCTTCCTCGGGCCAAGCCGCTCTGACAAACAGCATCTAGTGTAGAATCTAGTGCTTTGCTCCGCAGGCCTGGGAAGGAAATGCATGTGGCCAGTCTGGGCCAGTGCATCGAATGGCTTCGTCAAGTGCTACAGTACTAGTACTATAGGTAGGCGAGAGTCATGGAGTCATGGGCCCAAACTTCTTCGGGCTTCCAATGACTGCTCAACAAGACCTTTGTCAGTTGTATGCATGTTAAATCGATGCTGATTGCTCAAGCTTGAAGGTGTCGGGTTCTTGTTTGGGCTGGGAGTGTTGGGTGACACGGAGGTTCGTGGGTTGTCAAGACCTTGCCAAGCAAGCGGCATGTCTGCCACATTTTCAGGGTCTGATGTTGGTTACCAACGTGGCCTTCCTGCAGGCTGGTCTGTGTGCGCACTTGTCACTAGTCATTCTCATTCGTCGAACATGATCGCATGTGCCCATGTCTGCTGTCGGTTTTCACAATCATTTGCTCGAGGTTCGGATGCTTGTACTTCAACCGCAGAGCATTTGGCCTAGCTGCAGTGCAGCAACACTTTCGCCCATAGGTCCCATAGGTCATGTTTTGCCGAAACTTTCAGGCTGCAGAGAGGAGCTGTGTGATGACTCCCTATTCAGGACACAGTTCATTCTCTGCATCTCACGACTTGCAGCACAGATGGGGAATGAGTCAGTCATCATTATGTTCCGGGAAGGTCAGCAGTTAGCTTCATTCAAGCGCATGCTGGATCAGCATGTGTGATTTCACAAGCGTCCACTTGGACAGGATCGCACCCAAAGTTTTGGGCATGTTCTACTTCTTGACCCTCGCCCGCATTTGGTACAATAGTTCAGTGACTTACCGAGGTAGAAGCCGGGTAGGACCTGAGACTGGCTTTTTAGATGCGTTGCTACATTCCATCAGGCTTGGAATCGCTGTTTCCTGCTCTGTGCCTGCCTTATATGACACCAGTGGGCTTGTCCTATTTCATTCGCCGGCTGGCAACTGGCATGGTAGAAGGCTTCGATCTTTGCTGAAAAATTCTTGAAGAAGTGGCCTGAAGAGCGCGACCCCTGGCTTCTTGCAGAGTGCGCGCAGAGTCAGGCCGGAGTGTCGCAATGTGGTGCAGGCCGTTCTACATTCTGAAGACAAACCTCATGATAGGGGAACTGATCCTTGCAGTGCTGGGCGTCATCAACAATTTCTCGAAAGAGGCGGCAATGGGGCTTTGTCACCTGTTCACAGAATCCCTCAGTCTTGTTGCTTGTTGGGGAGAGAGATTTGGAACCTCCGCAACGCCACAATACAGGAAAGGTGGGTTTGCGGGGATCTGCCGACTGGCCGACTGGCACTTTTTGAGGATGTGACGGCGGTAGGGGAGGCCATATTCGGAGGAGAGGTGGGCAGCTTCTGACGCTCATAATGCTGGTTCCCAGCAGGAGGCAATGATGGAACGCGCCTCCAATTCAGTTCAGACGGTGGCCAGTTCAGCTTAGAGGAGGTGTACTAGCGCGCTGCCTGGCGCGGCTTTTCTGCAGACGTCACCTTGCCGGTCCACCACTAGAATTTGCAACGGGCGATTACGTGAATGTGATGCTGTCCACCGCAATCTGCCGCACTTCCAACGACAAGGATCCAATTGATAGGAATGCAAACGGGAGAGTGAGGCCTTTTCAACATCTTCGCTGCAAGCGTGCACTGGGATTTTGTTTTCCCGCTTAGAACGGGTCAACGAGGACATGCCATGACGACCTATCGTCGTCGCATCACACGCCCAACACCAATATCAGCGTGCGCTTGCGTCCCCAGAGCCTTCGTTGTACTACGCTACACAAGCAGCGGAGGGACGGGTGCAAGGTAGGTGGCCGGCTGCGCTGAGTCAGCTAGGCATAGCTACACTTCAACAGATTTATGAGAATTGCCACCCGGCTTCTGCAAAGCGTTTTTGTTCTGACTCCTTCGTGCGTTTCTGTTTGTCCTGGGTCAGGACAGTGCAGACGAAGACAACGACTCCTGCTCTTGGGACCAGCCATTTCCCCGGTGAGCTGCATTCAACACCCAAAATGCTGCACTGAGCCCGCGATGCAAGCCCACAAGGTTCCACGACTGGAGGAGACAACTGCCGGTTGTCCTCGTGTGGCGCCCCCCTGAGCAATCTCAGCATCAAGACAAGATCGCAAATTTTGGGAGCTTGGGCGAGACGTGGGCTGCACCGAGAAACGCTGAGGCTTCTTCACGGCTGGATTGCTGGCCTTTTGGTCAAGCGATGTTCAGCCCTGGTGAAGAATGTGCCAAGCTCTTGGACGCGACAGCCATTGCAGTCAGCACAAGCGCTCAAATGTTCACGCCGTCGTGAAATTAACAGCGGTGCAGACTGATTGTGACAGTAAGCTGCACGGTCTGACTGCAATAAACAGTACTGGACTCGCAAGTCGAGACAATGTGACAACGCAAGGTCACACATTCTGTCTACTCTTGCAACGCCCGGTTCTGAGAGTCTTAGAGATCAGGCCTTGCTTCTGCAAGCAGCAGCAGTTCATGCATGTGTTGTGCAGTCCTTCTTCAGGTATGGGTATGCGCTGCTTACGCATGCGCTGCCGTTCTCGTGGTCGTTGGCTGAGCGCGGACGCAAAGGTAGAGCGCCGCGGAGCTGGCAAGTTACGACTTCGGGACTCGCAGCGAGGCCGGTAACACAGGCCGGCGTGCTGGTGCTTTTGGCAGTGCATCGGCTGCAAATAATCGGGGCTCCTCACGGTCCAAGAGTCTAAGGCGCTCTGAAACAGGATCATAGAACGTCTTACGCCTCTGAGCACCCATGGGTTCGGCATGCTCCATACCGAGGTGCTGAACTTCGCATCAACTAGCGACCAGCGCGGCCACAAGGAGAATTCTCATAGGCGCTATATATGCACACTACCAACGCCGAACAACGCAGAAGCCAAGGAGTCCAGGCGGAAGCGGGTCGAAGCCCCAGCCAGCAGACGGGACGATGCAAACATGTTCAACCTGCTTGCTGATGCCGTCCCAAGCTCAACGTGCATATGCAGGAGGTTTGCAGTAAGCTCGCCTGAGGATGTTGGAGCAATGTCAAGCGTTTCAACTTAGCTGCAAAGCACAGGGAATCTTCGCCCCCAAACTTCTCATGAAATCCAGCAGCACGAATAGTACACGAATCAAGCAACAAAGTCTCCCAAGTTGGGACGGAAGAGGCCTTTAAGAAACCTTGGTCCAGTCAAGATCGGTGGACGGCTTGTGCCCGCTTTGGCCGCCAATGCCGCGAAAGCCGCAGCGCAGCACGACGAATGCAGCTGAACGCAGCGACGAGGCACCCGAGGGGGGTTGAGCGAGTGGTGAGCGCTTTCAACTTCCAGGGTTGGAAAGAGATGGTCACAAATTTCGGCACTGAGCCGGCAGGTCCCGACATCGATACTAGCGGTAGCAGAGCATCATGCAAGGACATCCTTCGCCAGCGCCGGCGGCAGCATGGCATTTAAAGCTCGTTCTAGAGGTCAGTACGCCCGTGCAGGTCTTGGGTGTCGCAGAGAATCCAGCTTAGGATCGAAGCAGTGCAGACTGCAGATTTTATTATGCTTTTACTCTCTTGGCATCTTTGGCTTTTGGCACTGATTTGGTTGGTGGCTTTCGCCGAGCTTGCTACTGCCAAGCAGAGTCGGTATGCTGGCTTAGAGAGCAGCCCTGTCGTCCTCTTTAGCTGCGGACAACTTTGCGGCTCCCTCTCCAGGTGGGCCTTCTGAGCCTGTAGAAAAACATGCTGCACGTCATCAGCGCCCCTAATAATTTCCCGAAGCAGATTGACGCCAAATGGCGAGTGGCCTGCCTGGCGGAAGCCCTGGTACCTGGCATGGGTCGTGGTGCTGGGCGTCATGGCCGTCAGCTGCGTGCAGGCGTCGATAGTTTCCAAGCGCAGTCGCAAGTTTGCCTCTGATTGCCCCTCGTGTACCTTGCTGGATTGAAATGTCTCAAGCACCGAAGCGGCTGAAATCGAAAAATCTTGCATGCAGAACTCCGCGCTTGTGGCGGGCGGACTTTGTGGGCTGCTGGCTGCAGCGATGGCCTGGGCCTGTCCTGCAGGGGCAGGATCTGCCCAGCAACCCAAGGCGCCCCAAGCAAGTGGCAAACGATCTTCATAATTTTTTGCAGCGGAGCTGACACTGGAGGCGCCCGATGCTTCCCTCGGACGCGGGCTCGTCATGATAGATGGGATGACTGGTCTTTTGCTGGCTGCGCGGCAGCTAAGCACCGCAGCTCGGTTCTGGACCAGCCTAGAGCCTGGGACATCCTATCAGTCAGCAACCCCTGCACTCGAACCTCAACCTCCCCAGCCTGCAGCACTAGTCTCGGTTCTCTGCTGCACCGTCCTTTCAGGACCCTACCAGGAAGTTGGACAAACCACATAGTCCTTGAAGCTCTTGTACGGCTGTATCTTGCTGCCAAAGAGTTTGTATGTGATTGCTGCCCTTGCAGCCTGCAAGGTGCTATGGCAATCTGGGCTGGAGGTGCTAGCGGCTTCCATCACGGCATTGCGCTAGAGCTGCACATAGCTGCACCGATCAGCCCCAACCCCCAGCCGCAGAACTTAAGCCACCGGATTTTCCCTCTTTCGACATTGCACTTGGTCTCGCGTAGATAGTAACGCCACTACATCGCAGTCTTGTGCCCGAGCTTGGTAGAAGACTTTATCTTGATGTTCTTCACCTTCTGGAGGTCTCAAGAGGTTGTCGCTAATTGGCTCGAATATTGTCGCATCTCTACATTCTACACGTGACCCTTCGACTCCTGCAGTGGCAGAACTCGATGCGTTTGTCCCGAGGCCATTACTGATGTTTTCAGTGGCGCTGATGTTCTCGTCTTCTGACAGTTCTTCGCTGCGACTGGGCGCAAAGGTATGTAGAGCGCAGGAAGTTCATGACACATGGACGATGTAGCTTCGTTTTGCTAGTCCTGCTCCCGAGGCTGGTGTCTGTACCATCGGCCATGTTGCACCTGGCAGCAGCAGCCGCCTATTCTGTGCCCGGAATGGAATCAAACATGAGTTTTTGTCTTGCCACACGGCTCACCTGGTGACCATGACGGCGGACGCCGGCAGAGCTGCAGCTGAGGTATTGTCCATGAACGATTGGACAGCCGTGGCCGTTCTCACGCTTGCCTTGATGGCTCATTTGACCCTGTACTTGCCACTGCCACTCAATGATCCTGAGCCTTTGGCTGCGCAGAGCATGCAACAACAGTTCAAGCAGCTCCAGACAATTCAAGACAGCTTGCATCGAGAGCAGAAATCCTTGGCCGAGTTTCCGGCCTGGATCTGACTTACTACGGCCTGCAGTCAGGAGAGCAACCCTTTCTACACGTCTCTGCGACGTGTGCGACATCAATTTGCAGCTCCTCTAAGATGGCTTTCCCGTTGCAGGGCCCTGTCGATGAGTGATGCATCACACCGCATTCCCAGGTGCGCTTTCTGGCACAACCCGTTTCTGGTTTCGGCCTTGGCCTCAGGAACTCAACTGTGTCATAGATGGGTTTTGGTGCTTGCCATGTAACTTAAACAGGTTTGGCAGAGTCAGGTGGGCCTCAGACAAACCCGAGACCTAGCCAATGATGTCATCGCACGGCGGTTCTCCGCAGGCGACGAAAGCTCCTGATGGTCGATTGTCGTCTTGCGCGACGGATGGAGCGAGTTCTTCGAGTCTCGCAGGTAGTTCCCCTGACGAATTGGTCTTGAGTTGCGGAATCCGTGCGAAATCTGATTGCGAAAGCTTCGCTTAGCTTTGATGAGTCATGATGGCACCTAGCAGGAAGATTAACAGATGAACATGTGACACAAGCATGACGTCCGGAAGATGCTTCGCACATGCCCCAACTCTGCAAGGGTCGCTGTGCGGAAGGCTTTGAGTGGGTTCGACACGATGGAGGCGGCCGCAGTTAAAATCCAGAGCCGAAGTGCTTACAAGATGCATCGTGCCAGCATGACGAGGTTTGACCACAGATCCGTCCGAATTCTGGGCCCTGACCACATCTGGCTCTTTGGGCTCAAAGAGTTGTTGTCAAGTGCTTTCAACCTGAATTCAGAGGCTGCAGGTTTTTTCTGAACCCTGGCAGGGTTTGATGGAGGCTGCATGCTCGCGCATGGTGCAGCAGCGCTGTGGGTGTGTGAGTGTGGCTTTCGGAACCGCGACTCCAATGTCGTTTGTGGTGGTTTCGGCAAGCTCGGTTGCAAGAAGCCCCGGCCACAATCACAGCAGGAGGACTTGACACAACATCCTGGCCTGAGTTTGCAGGCAGATGTTGTGCTTACTGAGACGCCTGCCGGTCCAGCACTAGATGTGTCGCCACCAGATGATCTTGAGCTGAAGCTTCTCAGCCTTTTACAGAGAGAGCCGGAGTTGCAGCCGCCTTTGGATGCGACAGACACGACAGACTCCCAGATTCTTGGAAACGCCGCAGTGCAACCGCTCCCCTCCCAAAGTACACCGGAGATGCTGGAATGGACGTGCCAATGTGGATTCCGGAATCGTGCATCCAACGCTGTTTGTGGGGGCACTGGACGTCTGGGTTGCGGCTTGCCGGGGCCGCGAAGCTTTCAAACAGCCGGCGCGGGCTCCGGCTCGAGCCCTTCCCCGCATCCCGCGAAGCTTCAAGTCGCTCCAGTGGTTCACGCGGAAGCCAGGACTGCCGAGGAGCCGGAGAAAGTCCTCGCTGGCTCGGGAGCCTTCGTCAGCACTTCCCCTACAGTAGCGATTGTAGTGTGGAGGCACCCGTCAGCTCGTCTTCTTCGTATGCTCAAGACCAGGAACTTAGAATTTTCAGACATTTTCAGATCTTGAGCTGCAGTCGCTAATCTTCCGCATGCATGCCGAGAAGGATCGCAGACCACTGCGATTGCCGGTGGAGCCTGGGTCTGCACCAGCAACTCTGCTTGACTGGAGTGCATTTCTTTGCACTGCAACTTTGCACTCATGGGTGGCCTCACTGCCGATGAACTGTAGATGCCAGAGCTGCTAGATTCTGCTAGATGCCAGCGCCTAGACTCCTAGACGAAACCGGTAGGAGCTCCTCCAGAATCGGCCTGCTGAGCCCGAAAGGCGCATCTAACAGTTTTTACTAAGAATCTCCGCAAAGACGGGCGCAGCCCTACATCACACAGCAAGCAATTGTGCAGATTCCTTAAAAGCTGAAACATGCACATTTGGCCGTCCGCACCTGGCAACTGCTAAATTGAAGCACAGCCACGAGACCCAAGGCTCGCAAAAACAAAACATGAGCCAAACTTCAAAAGGAATGAGTCACACAGGTTTAGACGGGACACATTGACAGTTGGGAGCGGAATGCAGCATGGGACTGGAAGCACCTGGTACGACAGACAGGCTTAGGACTTAGGAGTGAACTGCACTAGCATAGCTTTGCAGTGGCCATCTGCTGGGCCTGGCCCCCCTGAAGCATCCTCAACCCATTCCTTAATTTCTCACCAGGTTGTGGGTGGAGGAATCAGGCGCCGTCTCAGAGACTTCGATGCACTTGATATGGTACAGATTCCGGTAGCTCAATGCATGCAGGCCTGCAACGATGTGTGCGGTGGTGTTGGGCGCCTGGGGTGCAAAGCTCCGCGGAGTGGACGTGCAGAGGCCCGGACCTCTTCAAATTCTGCTCTTGCATTTTGGATGATAGGCCCGCCGACTGCCATCGAACCATTAAGTAGGCTGATCTCGAAATGCAGTCGGCTGCAGTCGTAATGCTGCCGTGCTGTTCAAAGGAGCCCGACATGATGCCAGTGCAGGAGAAATGGCAACTTGACGCACTTTTGTCGCCTTTTCTGTCGCAGGCAGTGAGTCCGCACGGTGCTAGAGTCGTAGGCTTGCACGGTCTTTTGCTCGCTTTCTGCTTTTGTAGTAACATCTGTCATGCGCTCGTCAGTGGGCCTTGTCCGTTCCGGCGCATCCGCACAGGCCTTCTCGAACCCAAGCATGCGCCACACCGAAAATCCTCCTGTCCGGAGTCGCAGTCGAATCTGAGGCTCAATGCAACGCAAAATCGTGCAGGAATCGATGTTGGAGGTTTCGCATATCAAAGGCTAAGCATCTGACGAATGACGGCCAGGTGTTAGACGCGCAGGACTTGATGCTCCCCTCATCGAGAGAAGCCCGTTCAGAGAGTCATGGTTGTGGCACGTAGGGGGTCAGGGCGTTGTTGGGTCAGTTAGACACTGAAGCCTTACCGACCGTTCTGTCAGCGGTTTGCTGAACCTGGGCGCTAGGCCAGAGACACCCCAAACCGGGTTTGCGGCACCAGACCTGAGCAGGTTCTTGATGTGCCAGACCAGCACAACGAGTCCGAAGGGGTGCACGGGTTAAAAGAGCTCTCACTCTCTCTCTCTCTCTCTCTCTCTCTCTCTCTCTCTCTCTCTCTCACGAGGTGACGAGGACATGCTACGGTCCCTCTGAGAAACACGTAGAAGCTAACGTGGTCTGACTCGCGCCGCGCAGCGACCTTCTGCCTAAGTTTTTGGCTTCTGGCGCGCCCAGAGTCCCACGAGATCCCACGAGTCAAGGACCTGCCAAGCTTGTGGAGCCGAGAACGAGGCGGACCAAATCACATCCTGTTCATCCTGCAGCATACCACGGCGCCTGAATGGAGTGGTGAAATCAATAGGCCTCCTCCGTGCAAAAGTATCGGCTCGTGCGAAAGATGCTGGCAGACCATGGTAGACCTGCTTGTCTGTGCATAGGAGTTGACTACGGGTTCATCTCCTGTCCACAGACAGCATCTGCTTTTGGACGTGATGTGCTGCGTGGTCGAATTCATCCGGTGCATACATGCTGAAACGATTCAGACTTCGCTTGGCCAACGTGTCAAGCATGCGTTTCTACTTGGGCTGCATTAGGTACGTCAGCAAGCAAGTCCTTGATGCTGCTTTTCGCAAAGGCTGGAATTTTGCATTATCGAATCCATGCACTTGGTCAGCAGGTGGACTGTTGGCAATCCTGCTTGCAGGCAGAGGTGCAAGCAGTGGCATGTCAGTCTTCCACTGAGTCTCTCAAGAACTTTGCCTTATGGGCACGTCGCGGGGCCATGACTCATGACCTACTTTCGCATCTGTCCTGTGTTTCAGGTGAGTTTCATCGTTTGGCTGAACGAAAGTGGGCAGCCAAATGCAAGTAAAGTGGTTCCTGTCGAGGGTGGCAGTGTGCACGAGGCGTCGTGCTGCAGAGTGCTGACAAGCAATACAATTGTCTCTCACGTGCCGTGTCTTCCCAAACAGGACATGGAGTTTCAAGGCACTGTGAAGTACATGTCAAAGGAGAAGGGCTACGGTTTCATCGAGTGCAAGGAGAGGCATGGGAGTTCGTGGCTCCGCAATCCGCTTTGAATCTTTTGCAGACTTGACTCTTTTTTGCGTTAGCAGGTCCTGAGAGTGAGTGGCCAAGAGCGTAGTGAGTTTGAGTTGCATCTACTTGGAAGTCTCAAAGTTGCGGCGTGACCTTCGTTGTTGGGATGACCCATCTTCAAGATGGAATTCGTCTCCACGATCAGAAGACCTTTGGCCAGACGGACTGCGGAACCGCACTGGCAGACAAGCTGCAAGACCAAGTAAGGAGTAAGGAGGCAGATATTGGGAGATGTTCGGAGCGAGCTTGCATGGGGATTACATGCCGTCTGGCGATTCTTAAGCATGAACAGAACTCATGCTCTGGCCTGCGCGTGGCCCTCTTCCGGATTCATCTGCTTGTAACGGATTCGGTGTGAACGTGCCTCGATGTGCATCGTGCGATGCGAAGCCATGCCCGGCAGTGTGATGTCTCTCCTAAGCGTGTCCTTGGGGTGATGTGTCTTATCTGACTTAGCCACCCCTTGGTTTGCTACCATGATTTGCTGGCCGAAGCGATCACGCAGGAGACGTTCGATCTCTTTAGCTGTGATGTGTATGCTGACCTCCCAGTGCTGAACGACTGCTCGCTGGGTCAGCCCGTGAAATTCGGCATCAGGAGCCAAAGCTTGCATTTAATGTGAGTCTAAACATTACGTACACTTGGCTGCCAGTGGCATTCGTTGCAAGCCCGAAAGGTTGGGACAGATTGGCGGACGTCCGCAGGTTCGCAACCTTTCAACTGCTGGCCCGCCACCTGAGCACCTACCAGCCGGGCACTTAAAACTAGCAACGAGTAGCTACGAGTGAAGCCGTCAGTGTCCATCAGTCACTGCGCAACCCTTTTTGCGCCCGCTCAGACTGCTGCCCGAAAAAACACAGCACTCCCCCCCTCCCAACCCAAGGGTTGACAGCGCAGACTTGAAATCTGACATCCTAATACGGACTTCGTTCAAAGTAATGCTTTTCCATCCTTGCTTAAAAAGGAGGGGCCTTCGTGCAACCCACGCCTGGTCCCCACAGTCCCCACTGCACAAGCACCTCAAGTGAAGGCCTCCTAGCATGAGCCCAGCGCAACATCTCATGGAGACTTGTGGAGTCTCAGACAAAAATATCAAAGATTGGTGTCGTGAATGAACTGAAGGACATGGCTGACATGGCCACTCGATTCAGCACCTGGCGGGCACACCGTGGAGTCAAGAGTTTTCCTGCCAAACACCACCTTCACCGAAAGGAGTTGCCCTTAGCGAGGCAGTTTGGCGCACTCTGTTCATTGTTACAGTCGGTATGTACTGTTCTTCTTAAGATACCGCAAAGCATCACACTGATGTGCGTGCGAATGCATTCCAGTGCCTGCTTCGAATGTGGGGAATCATGATGCACTGCCATCTGCCCAAATGCATGAGTCGAGAATGCGATCTCATACGATATCTGGTTTGAGGCCACCTGCAGTTCTTTGGCACGGGAAGTGCTATCCACTGCTTGGGCAGGGCCAGTTCTGCTGTTGGGCGAAGGCGTGGTCTGAGTTGGGCTGTACTGTGCTGTCAGTGCTAATGCGTGCATAGTGACAAGACCAGCCTCATGCAGCTTGGCAGGTGACTTCACGTTTGCTGCTGCTGCGGCCACCATCCACACGGAATCCAAACTGGATGCCACAGTAGTGTGTCTTCGCTGCACTTGATCGGTCAAGATGCCAGGCTCCTCGTCTCTGTCACTGTCAGGCTGGAGGAAGATCTGTGGCAGGAACGCTTCCCGAATCACCACATGGTTGTGGATGCACTGAAGGAATTGGGACACAGCATTCGTTTCGGCGTGGACGCGAAACAGGCACGTGTGAGCAAACAGACTCGTGTGCCCAGCACGGCTATTGAATGCTGGAACAGAGCCCGCTTGAACCACAAACCTCCCGGTCAGGTCGACTGCGCAAACTATTCGATGATCGTCTTCAACTTCCCAGCAGTTTCAGCACAAGAAGTGCCCCGCGATGATGGTGGAAAGCTGTCTGCGAGTGGAGAACTGGCGTTGGGGTTCCTGATGAATGCCAGGGTCAGCTGGGAAGAGCTTGTCTGCTGCGTGTTGCGATTCTTCTGAGCGGTTCGTGCTGACGCCGTGAGATGCTAGAAGCTGCAATCTCGATCCGCACTACCGAGCATCATCGCAGCAGTGAGGGTGTAGCATATTGACCTGAGGGTCACTGCAGCAGCTGCATTTTGGAGGTGGTGGCAGTGGTAGCTAGTAGCATTGGCGGCAGTATAGACCTGCGAGCACACAATACTCGTAGCAGTAACAGAAGGATACAGAAGGAGAAGAATAAATAGTACTAGTAGCAGTAGTAGTGGTTCAAGATGCTTGGCTCAAAGCTGCAGGGCATTGGGTGGAGGTAACGGAGGACGTGTTCACAGTATCAGAGTAGCAGTAGTAGTAGTAGTAGTAGTAGGAGTAGCAGCAGCAGCAGCAGCAGCAGCATGAGCAGTAGCAGTAGCCGAAGTAGTAGTAGTAGTAGTAGTAGTAGTTGTAGTAGTAGTAGTAGTAGTAGTAGTAGTAGTAGTGGTAGTAGTAGTGGTAGCAGCAGGTAGTAGTTAGTAGTTAGTAATTGGTAGTTGGTAGTTGGTAGTTGGTAGTTGGTAGTTAGTAGCTAGTAGCTAGTAGCTAGTAGCTAGTAGTAAGTAGTAGTAGTAGTAGTAGTAGTAGTAGTAGTAGCCGTATAGTAGTAGTATAGTAGTAGTA